TCTGTCATGTTTTTGCTTGCTTGAATGTGAGCATGATGTTTGGTACTTAGCTACAAAACTATTCAACACGTGGGAACACACCGGAAAACCACAAGAAACAAAGAGGAGAAGTTGTCGTTTTGTTGCTTCTTTTTTTTCTGTTTTTCTCAAGGTGTTTTTGTTTTGGATTGGCGTTCCATCAGTTTCTTTGTTGTTTGGCTTCATCCCTCCAAACAGAAGAGTGTGTCCTTGTGCTTGTTGTGAGTGCCAGGAGGTAGCAATCCAAACACACCTCGAGTTGTTTGTGTTTTTTGTAGGGATAAAGCAAGCACACACAAGTACATGGAATTTCAATGTACATTGAATTTGGACGTCTATTTGCATTAAGAATTTACGCAGGAATTCCTTTCTGAACAGGATTTACATCAAGGTCAATTGCAGTTTACATGGACTTGAACGAGTCCCCAGGTCGGTTTTAGCGTTTGGGCTATATGCCACAGAGCGAGGTCATAGGGGGTGTGAGCTATAGTCAAGTTTGTACGTGGGTATGCGCTAAAGTAGGGGGACACCCAAGATGATACCATGTGACATCTTAGCTTCCCCATAATTGTAAACGCTTCGCGTTGCCCGCCTCGGCCCAGCCTAGTTTGAGGGAAGGGTCAGGAACACCGAAATCCAGTGTTGGGAAGGTCCGAATCCTACTGAAAGCTTGTGACCGCACCAGTTCGCCCGTGCTAGTTCGATGTTCGGAAGCCGTCCTGCTCGGAAGGTTTGAAATCCAAAACCAAGACTATCTCAGCTGCTCAGTGCCCTTGGAAAAAAAAGGACCTCTTTCTGGGGATGAGCATTTTTAGTGGGGCTTGGCCTCCATAAAAAGGGGAACAATAATTGGTGTCACTGAACAACCAAGACCAACTTTGGGTGTTTGGGCACCTCCATTTCACGTGGCTGGCGGCTTGCCATGACACACATTTCTTGCTCGGTTGCTCAGCCCAAGACAGGTACATGGTGGGAATACAAACCTCCATTTGCTTAAGTACCCCGGAAAAATATCCCCCAATAGACACGCCAGCAGGCGGGCTGAGGGACTGGGCCTGAGGCTAGTCTCAGGCTGGCATACCTTGAGACGCCCTGTTTCATACACACTTGGGCCTGAGGCTGGGTGGCTGGGCTGGGCCAGACACGCCAGCAGGACTGGGCTGGGCATACTTTGAGACCAGTCCCAGACTGCGCCGAAGGGGCTGAGCCTGCTGGATGACTTGGGGCCAGATGCGAGCAGGAGGTCGGCCTGGGCTGCTTAGCCGGGGGGCACGTCAGACAGGCTTAGTAGCTGGCCTAGCTTGAGACCAGTCTCAGACACGTGAGACTGGTCGTCAGACAGTGAGACTGGTCGTTGGCCTGAGGCAAGTCTCAGACACGTTAGACAAACCTGACCTTGGCACTGGGCTGGGCCTGCTGGTGGGCTGGGAGCGCCGGCCTAGTGGGCCTGGGCTCAGGCTTGCTGGATGACTTGGGGCCGTGCTTGGGCGGGTTGCTGGTTGGGCTAGGCCTGTTTCAGACAAGCTTGGGCCTGAGGCTGGGCGGGCTGGGCTGACAGGCCTGGCCAGCAGGCGGGTTGCTGGTTGGGCTGGGCCTGAGCCTAGTCTCAGACACGTCAGACAGGCCTGGCCAGCAGGAGGTCATGCTTTTCAGGACAAAAAAGCAATTTTTTAGTGATTTTGGTTGGGGGTTGGGGGGAGGGGAAAAGCGAAGATTCTCTTTGGAGAAGAGATCTGAGCGCCCTTGGCCCCTTTGGGGCCGAGGCGAATTAGTTCCCTTTGTATTTATTTTTGCCTTTATTGGGGTTCCCATTGTTTTCCAGTCACCAGGCAATTGTTGTTGAGTTTTGTTTTTTGCTGGGGTCCTAGTTCCAGCCATAAACGAAGGGTGGGAACCCCTGGGCTGAGGACAAGCACGATGAGCTCGGCTTTTTCGACTTGGAGGTGTGCCAAGGGGAAGGGATCCTCGCTGGGTGTGCTTTAAAGTTGACCCTCGCTTTATGGCTCTTTGGTAGGTTGAAACAGGTCGCATTTTCTAAATCGGACCCACTAGTTCTTCGCTTTCTGAAAAGGTGTCGTTACAACAACCAAGAAAAGGAGACACTTTGGCGCGCAACATTTTGACACTGCTATAGGTGAGGATGGCTGGAAGTACAGCGACTGTGCTTTTTCACGGGCGGCAATCGTGTGGCCCCGAGGGTCTTTAAGCTGGCCTTTGCTGTTCCCAAGGGATCCGACCATTAGTGCGGCGGTCGCCGCTTTTGTCATTGCCATAGGATCACGCAACCCCAGTTAACATGAGCAACATGTGTTCGTCACTTTTGAAATTGGACTGAGAACACGTGCGTAAAGCTATGATCCTGAGATTCCACTCCCTAGTCAATGGCGGAAAGAGCGGGCCGTACTTTCAATATGGGTGTGGCTCAAATTTAAGCAGGAGGGGTTACGCATGTCTTGGTCCATGTTTCCACTTCCCAGAGTTCCATTTTGGTACAGCTTTTTGAGCCGCAGCTGTTCCCACGTATGTTCCACATGTGGGTTGTGGGTACTTGTCCTCCTTTCATATTGTTTGGCTTGTTCTTGTGGGCTAGCGATGTGAGCTTTGACTGTCACCATGGTATACATTGTAGTAGCAAGCTTTTCCAGATGTGTCTCTAAGAACAAGCAAGTCTCTTCGTTGGGAATTGCGTACTTGAACCTCAGGACAAATGCGCGGCTTATATTATACACGTATATGCCCTTCTAGGCCTCAGAAACAAGTTGGTACCAGAAGTTGAAGGGAAATCGTTTGCTGGGGGCAGAGAAGCTCAGTAAAAGCACATCCTGATTTGGGTTCGATTTGAGGGTATGCTTCTTGGGGTTGGTTTAAAGGACAACTAACGGGAAACAGCTCATTTAGGAGACCCTAGAACAAGGGCGAGTCCACAGTCTGGGACCCCCTCAACCCATGTTGGCAGGTTCGATGCAGAGGTTCTTTTTTGTACCTGGTAGATGTTCCTTGGGCTAGGTCCTCCACCCCTCCCGCCTTCACTCCTTCACTCATTCAGCGGCATCTTGCTTTTTGGCTTTGTGGGCTCCCCACTAAACATAGTCAACCCCAAAGAGTGTGTCCTATTCCCACTAGTATAGGGTCGCTGGGTTTAGGTTCATTTTGTTACAGTGGTTGATTCCGATTGCTTTGGCACTTGTTTGTCAGGCATTGCCGGAGCCCATTGCGGACTACACCAGTTCGGCCATCGGGCTGCTGCGAGCCAAAGTGGATGATGAAGAGTGAGCCATGGAACAGGGGTCCCAAAATGTCCCTTTCCAGCTATGGTCCATTTTAAGTTTGGGGAGGACCTGGGGGTCCCACCCGTACTCACCAAATCGCGGGCTACCCAACTTGCCTTGTTCAGCTCACCTTTTGCAAGGGCAACCTTTGGAGTGATGTTGCAAGGGGAAGTGTAGGGACCCCTGTGCTAGCCGGAGCGGCGCGGTGGCTGCCAGAAAATGCATTGCAAGTAAACCGGGCCCATCATAGGTGTCCCTTTCAGGTCGGTTTGGTGGAACATCGATGGCACTGGTTTCAGCTGCGTGCCAGCGAATTATTTCCAAAAGCACACCTAGGTGAATCATGTTGAAGCAGAAATTTGTGGTGATATACAGTATATCAGGGTGTTGCCTTGTTCCCTCGCAATATTTGATGCCGTAGGTCCGAAGGTCTCCTGAAAATTCGAACCCAAAAGGAACAGGTCCTACAAGAGCAAAACAAAAGCAGGAGATTCCAACCCGAAAAAACGGGATGATTCTAGTTGGCGCGGGCCGGTAGCTACGGGCGCCTGCCCGTTGAGAAAATGTGGGGAGCCGAGACGTCGAGAACCCCAACGCAAGCGAGGGCTTAAAACTGCCAGCGGTCCGCGCGCGTTCGAGTCGAGTCAACTGAAGTCTTCGGCCCATGTGTGAGACCCATGTTGTGGGTGTGTCTTGTTTACTTGGGTCTTCAACCAACTTAGGTAGGTTAAAGCCATGGTTATAACTGGTGTATCTGGGGTTAGTTGGCTTATATAACCATGGTCAGAACCTACTTACTAAGTTGGTTGAACACACAAGTAGGGGACCCGCCATGGTCGATTTTCCTTGTGGTCATTTAAAAAGGGGTACCCTGAAAAAAAACAAAAACACCCATGTTGGCTGCCGCTTGGTCTGACCTTTCACCTGCTATCTGTTTGTAAAAACTGGTGGTTTTCCCACCAACGAGCAAGATGCGATAAACTTTCTTGCAGGAGTTGAGATGATCTCAGCGTATCCTTTGCCCAAACATAATACCCTCCCACCGATTACCATGAAACCCACCAGAGTGTCCCTTTTGAAGAACATTATTTTCCGGGAGCCACCAGCTAGGTCCATCTTCCTTTAGTGGGAGGGTACCTCATGTCATGTGTTTCTTTGGTTGGAGCTCCGTTTTTCTTTTACCCACAGGCATCAGTGTTCCCCGATGTAGGCGAGTCAGAAAAGGAGGTCAAAGCAAGGCTGAGGATGGTAAGTGAGGCTTGGGCCAAGAAAGACAGCCTGGCTACGGTGAAAGGTCAATGCGCGGCTCATGGTCTTTTTGAGAAAAACAACTCGGGGCCCCCAGTAAATGAAGGGCTAAGGAAGCCGATGTAACTCGTCGACTATACATAAACATACATACATAACTCTAGCGATTCCCTTTGGCTTCCCTTCCAAAACACACCCCAACGGGTGAGCTCCGCGAAAGACATGTTCATACTTTATACAGTGGGGCACCCAATAGGCCCCCCCCCAAAAAAAAGAAAAACAAACACAACAACAAATGTCTTTCTTTTTGCGGGTCCCCTTTTTGGGATGGCTTTAAAGGGAAACCGAAAGCACAACCGCCATTTTTTGGGGGTTCACCTATTGTAAGACACACCCATTTGTATATAAAGAGGGCATACTTCGCCACCCAGCTGCACATTGAGCAAGCCTTCGCAGTCCTGCTAGGTGTGGGACTATCAAGTGGGTCAGCAAGTTCTTGAAGAGAAGCCTGGCTGCAAGCTGTGTGGTGAAGAGGGTGTTGTTTTTGTTGCCGTTCTTTTGTTTTTCTCATTTTTTGAGGGGTGCCTCTTTCGGGTTGGTTCCAAAGTTTGGGGACCGGGGGTTCTTGAGAATCCAAACGCGGGTCCCGGTTCCTGGGAAGGGATCAAAGTTGTTCACCCCAAAGGAGGGCGACATCTTGGTTTCCAATTTTTAATTTCTTGCCAATTGACAGTTTTTAACGTGTTGAACGGTTGTTTAAGGTTTTCTTTTTTGCATTTTCCTCAAGCAGCAAGTTTTAACTTGTTGCAGAGGGTCTCAGTCTGGCCCAGTAAGCTGTTTAATTGGTTGGGCAAAGAAACGCACTTGAACCATCTTGAAATGAACTTCCATTGTTCTTTGGACACACTTCAGGAAGCCCTGTTTGACCACGTCAAAAGGCAGAAACTGTTGACTGGGCTGTGCTTCAACCTCTCCCACAGGACTAATGCAGGACTTCCGCCGGTTTCTTTCTGGGTTCGCTTTCTGAAAGGGTGCCCCGCGTTCGCGCAACCCTGCAAAGGGGATGCAATGAGCCAGGTCATTGCCGTAGGAGCATCCGGGACTCTGTAGGCATTTGCCACGTTCATAAATGGAACTCGTGAATGGAACAACCGAGGAGAAAGAGTCCGCGCACGCACGCACACACTGGCAAAAAGGTCAAGACATGTTTCAGCCTGAGAACGGACAAGAGTACGTGAACAAAATGCCGCCTTGCAACGAGGAACATAGGCAGATGGTCAAATGAATGAAGCCGTTCATGACGAAGTGTCAAGAAGACAGCTGTAAGAGCGGGCTAGAATGAGTCAGTGAATCAGTGAGTCGGTGAGGCGGTAAGTCAGTGAGTCAGTGAGTGAGCGCCCGATGAGTGTTTGCGTGCGTGAGTGAGTGTGCGAGCGAGTCAGTGTCAGAGAGCAGCTTGGATGCTTGTTCAACAACATGACACAAACATATTGGATAGTGATCATTCAAGATAGATTCATGACAACCTCGCAGTTTCGATCCCAATGCAGAGGCTTCTAGATGTTGCAGTAGAGTCCACCATCCAATGGTTCAAATCCCCCCTAAAAAATGCCCAAACCACTTTCCCCTGCAGACATCACCGAAGTTCCTTTGCACACATTGTTCACCTCGGAACTTCTCGAAGAACGCTCGGGAAATCAAATGAGCAGCGCCCAAAGCAGATTCCTGTTAGCGATTTTGGTGAGGTGGTTCTACTTAGCTACTAAATGGCTCAAGGATTATACAGCTCATATAAAACTTGATGCCCATCTTGGAACCAACAGTCAATAGGTTTTGGTCGCTGCTCAAATGAGCGGATTGGGCTGCCAGTGTTCCATTCGCCGGTGGTGAATGTTTTTTCTTTTCCTTTTTTCCCTTTTTCTTTGAGGGCTTCACCGGCAGTTCTGCTTCTGCTGCAGAGCTTCGCTCCTCGGCAAGAAAAAAGGCAGCCCCCAAAAGGGCCCATGCTAGTAGGTTCTACTCTCCGGTTTTTGGAGGGTGAGATACAGTACTGTTGCCCAAATCCATTTCGATTTCAAAATGGCCTATACAAATCGATTTCATCATTTTCATAGAACCAAGACACCCCTGTTCAACCCGCGTTAGGTAAGTAGGTTGTAGCCGAACCGCAGTTCTTTTTTTTCCCGCATGGTTATACATGTTTACTCGCTTGGTTGAACACCAGAGCTGCGCATGGAACCAACAAAAAGGGGGAGGGCGGTAGGGGGTTCCGGTTGGGGGTCCCATAGAAGGGTTTTTATTTCACTGGAGGCACCCCGCTTAGGTCATGTCCCATAGGGTTTCATCTATCTGCGGTGCGAAGCCCAATTTTGTCCATCCATGGGTGTGTCTTTTTGCACACACACACACACAAAAAGAAAAGAACGAAACCGGTTGGCTTCCTTTCGAGTTTCCGTCAAAACCCAACCAAATCTAAAACAAATGCAAAAACGAATCGAACACAGTTGGCTTCCTTTCGGCTTTCCTTTAATTTGAAGCCCAGCCAAGTGCGAGAACAATTAAAGAAAGACGAGCCCAGATCCGAAGGCTTGGCTGCTGGAGAACCGCCCAGAGCTGCAGGTGGTGCTGAAGCTGGACGGGTGAAACCCGGTGTGGCTCCGGGTACTTTTGGGAGGAACCCCCGAGCCCTTTGGGCTGGGTGTAAAGGGAAACCAATTACTTTCAACCAAACTAAACATGTTTTTTTTGGGGGGGTCCTTGGGCTTGTTCTAGGGTTTTGCTTACTAACAAGCAGCCACCCTTTTGGAAGACCATTTTTCGAGTCGTCAAACCACTACCACCGATGGTTTGGGGGTTGCGTAACCCATGACGCGCACATTAGAGCCCACAATTTGACTTTTGGGTCCTTGCTTCGCTCGCATCCAAGCCGGCAAAAGCTAAGTGAGCGTTGCAGTGAACAAACAACTTTGGGATCAATCAAGGTGAGGCGCCACATCCAATATAAAGGGCCCAAATGATTGCACACACTATTCTCTGGAGTATGACTCAATTGGCTTGATAGTATCCAGCAATCCCATTCTAATGTATGCAAATTGCACAGCCCAAAGCGTATCATAAGATTCACGTGAAGAATGTTCCAAAAATCAGGGACCTCAGGGTTGAAACGAAGGCAGGCAGTTCCCATAGACCTACATTGTCCATTGCAATCGCTTTGCTTTCCTTGCTTGCTGGGGCCGACTGGGGCCCCTAGAATTGGAAGGCAGTCTATGGGTTTGATTACATCGGGCAACTCTGTACCGCACGCCTCGGATACAGGCTCGATAATTTGTTCTCTTTGTAGGCACAAAGGAAATAAGGCTTGCAGGGGGTTAACCCCATGGTCGTGCCCACTGGGTTAGACTGGCACATGTGCAGCGCCCGAAACCCCCACGGGCCATTTTAGATGGTTCTGCTACCTGGTTTCGTGGAGGTAACGGCAAGCCTGTATAAATCTTGGCCAATGTTGGCAGAACCAGAGTCGGCTCGGGTTTCCTGTCCCGCTGCTCACGTGTACCATGCTGCAAATCCCGCTGTTTGGGGTTGGTAGGGGTGGTCACGGATTCCATGGGTAATCAACCAATGTATCTAGGGGCTGATTTCCCATTCTTTTTAGCCATCGTTCTTTTCAAAAACCAGCCATTTCCCCTCGGTGGTTTGGTGGTTTTCTAGAAAGAAGGATCCCTGGAAAGAATGGGGAAGTTACCCCTAGAATGGAAAGCTTCCTGTTGCGGTGAACATGTTCTTCACTGGATCTCTTGCGCCGTGCGAAGGACATCGAGGCGCATGTTTCTCTGCCGGCGCTGATACAGCAGGCGCTGGGTGTGGGCCAATGGACACCATTTGATGCGTTTGTGTGTGTGTGTGTGTGCGCGCTTTCTATTTGAGGATACCTTTCTTGGGTTGTTTAACAGGGAAACCAAGAGGAAGGCGAGCTTGAGAAGGGGTAGGATTTGAACAACATATCCTGCATTTTGCTGAGCATTTTTTTTCCTGGAAGTTCCCTTTACACCACCATTTTGAAGCTAGTGTTGAGAAATAAGCTCACGTGATATCCCCAACAGCATGCGGTGCTCTTTTTAGTGCTCGCACCACCCCGCAGCCCTCGCAGAGCATGGTGGAAGCCTCGTGGAACCCTGGTGGAACCCTGCTGGAGCCCTGGTGGAACCTTCGTGGAACCTTTCCTCAGGGCCGCCCCGGACCACCCCGAAGCCTATCTGGGCTGAGACCCAAAAGCTTTCAGCTGTTTGGGGAGAAGAAAAAAACACGTCCGCCCAATAAAATATCCTGTCATTGGGGATTTCTAAAGCTCAAATTTGTTGGGTTCAAAATGAAGGCTTCTTACCTGAGGCGTCCTTAGGCAAATGAATTAATGTGGGTGTGTGTGTGTGGGGGGGGGGAACACATTTGTGGTTAAGACGCTAGGGCTAGCCAATTGGGAGGGGTGGCCGTTGTATTGTAAAGCTAAATCAACTTATAGCGCATTTGTGTCTGGAATGACTTAGCCCCATGCAGTATACTTAGTACTTAGACGGTTGCAGAAAGTCGGCCGACCTGTCCTAAGTCTGCCCGAATCTGCAGTAGTTCTAAAAAAATATTCCGCATCATTTCCAAACAATAGTTCCGAAACCAACAACATGGTAAAGGACCTACGTGGTAAGGGACCTACATGGTCTTTAAAAAAAAACATATATATATATATAAATGGTAAGCTCGTTCTACTTCCTCGCCAGTCACAATCCACACCGAAAGCAGTGCCCATTGGCCTGTGCAATCGTGGACCTTGGGCTGGGGGCACCTCACGGACGAGTTTTCGATTGCTCAGGGCCCAGGGGTCAAAGGGGACCCGTCAACCGGGTTTTTGGGGGACTTAATACCGTTGATGGACCACATCCTGCGAAACCATTGTTTGCTGGTATTTACCAGAGAATCATCATTCCAGGGTTTCTTAGGTGGTGCAGGATTTCGTCCATCCACAGTAGGGAAGACTTGCAATTAAGGACAAGCGGACCGTCCTTTTACGTTCAAAGCCAAGCGGGATGCAAACATCACCTGGCTGCAACGATGATGTGCTTGGGTTGGGCTTCCAGGTTGTTCTGAGCCTCCAAAGTAGCCAAATCCCAAGGGGACGTTAAGCTGTTGCTTTGGTTTTCCTCACTCGAAATCAATTTTTGGACCCTTTGGTCAGGTCTATGGAGCAGGTCCCTTCCCTTCCCTTGGCCAGGTATCCCAGCGCGGGCACCAGACCTCGCTGCCGGGGGCGCCAGGGCAGGGTTCCGACTCTGACCCCTAATGACCCCCCGAGGAATCAACCCATCCTGTTAAGCAGGTGTCACCCACAAAAATGAAGGATTCCCACCAGAAAACACCCCTATCAATCAACCAAAAGTTTACTAGTCCACGATTAACATTCAACCTTTAACTCGCCTTCCTGTTTGATGATTTTCGGGATTGGGCGAAGAATTCTGAGCCAGTTCGCATGGAAACCCGGTTGGAATATTGTCATAAACCTCCTTAACCGGTGCCTGGCCCAGTTCCCCACTTTACGCCTCGTGCGGTTCAGGCCTGAGAACTGTCCAGTGCCTGATGCCTCATAGGAATGCAAAGCGAATCGTTGCAGACAAGGCACCTGCAAAGGGAAGCTACACCATGCTACACCAAACCAAATATGCGGCCGCGTTTCCGGCCCAAGGTTGCGCGCTCCAGAGTGTCAGCCAATGTTGGTTGAAAGGACCCCCGCCTGGATTTGTGTGAAAGGTTCCATCGGGTGAGCCTTGTATCTCTCTGTGTTCTTGGTGTGCAAATGAGAAACATATGCAGAGTGATGCACCTCCCCCCCTCCCAGTGCCTCAGCCATGGGCCTGTGGGCAGGTTGTTTGCAAGGCATGTGTTTTTGCAAACAAGCCACCAGCCCCAAACGAAGAGGAAACCAAAGGGAGGTTGTTTAAACATGTTCATCATGTTTGTTTTTTTTTGTTTAATATGTTTTATCAGGGTTGAATGGATAAATAATTACGCACCCACACGCCTTGTTATCCTGTGATCATGACTTGTTTTAGTTCAAACGTACGACAACAGTCCATTTGAATTGTTTCAATCCCGATAGTGGTTTAAACATACGCCGCCTTCCTGTTAGCCTCCCTTCAAGACCACCCCACAACCGAGCCTGAAGCAACATGTGGTTCCCAAAATATGATAGGTGTCCTTTAGGGTTCTCTTGAACCCCCCCCCCCACCAAGGGCACCCAGTACCGAGCCTCAAAAGAGACACACGCCCCCCCCCCCAATATGGGTTTGTTGCAAGGGCAACCCCTACGATTGGTGGTTTCCAGCGTCCTTCAATTCGCCGAAAAAGGGTCCCTCAACAAAAACAACACCCATATATATGTATATACATCCGCGTATATATATATATATATTGATTTATCTATATTTACATGTATACACAGATATATATATATATACATATATATATATATAAATATATATACATATATGAGCATGTTATGTATACATATGTATATATATATATATACAAACCGGGGGTTGTTTCAGGCTCTCGGCTCAGGCTGGGTCGCATGGTGGAGAACTTCCCAGTGACGGTGGGTGCCACAGAGCAGGCCTTTGACCTTTCCCATGTCTCGGGGGGGGGGGGGGGGGGTCTTTTGCCTCAGCTTAGGTGATTTGTTTGGATAGCTATGGTGACCGAAAGTAGACGAACATTTGAAGCACAATCTGAGCATATGATTCCCGCAGGTGGGCCAAGCTGCCTCGCATTTCAATTGATCGGTTCTCACGGAATGAGTTGGAATGGCCTCTATGAGTCATCTTCTGTGGTATCCTGTCAGAGGATCCGTAGGTTCATTCTCGATGGAGAATTCCTAATTACTCGGCAACCCGGGAAAAGGCGTGTTCTTTTCTCAGCCACTGGGCACGAAGCCGGAACCCAGAACTGAAGCCCTGGTTGATGTTGCTTGTGGAAGGCAAGCCAGTGTAGAGCGCTACAAGCGTTGCACCGCCTTTTCATTCGCTGGGTCCTTAGGTGTATCTGCAGGAGCAACCGACGGACATTACGGGAAGGCTATGGTTCCTTGAAAGAGATAAGAGATTTCCCTTTCTTTTCTACAAAGGGGCGCGACCACCCCAAATCAACGAGTCAGCAAAACAATGCCCTTCTCAAACATGGCACTGAATCCCCGGAGGATCCAATTTGCTGGATTCCCTTTGTCATTGGACTCTTTTTTGTGGGGCGGGGAGGGTGTGTGTGTGTGTGCTTTTCACGCGAGAATCGCAGGCGTCCTCTTGTGTTCCATGGGGGGGGTGGAACCTCACCTCGTAACTGAATGCAATGCGTTTGGTGATGCGGTTAGGTTGCGTTGCCTGAGCCTCTAAAAATTGGCAAACGATTCCTTGGGTTCCCCATTTGCAGGAGGAATCCGCTGCTTCCGGGTAACTCTCGAGGATCAAAGTCTTGAGCCGTACTGAAGGCCAAGGCCTAAGGAATCCAAGCTGCCAAACAAGGCTTTTAAGCCCGAAGAAAGCCAAACAAGCTTCAATTTCAGTTGTCAGTTGGCGGGGTCCTTTTCTTTTTTAGCCGACAGGACTGTGAGACCTGTGAGATACCTCAAGAAGTGGAGCGCTTTTGTGGGGAGCCCCACGCCGAATCGCAGGCGGAGGGCCGGTTTATGGCGGATGCCCATCGGGATCGTTAGGATTTGATATATGGCAGAGGGACCAAATAAGTTAAACAAACATACTCAGAGCATACCCGTTTTGAGTGTACTTGTACCCCAGCTTCGGCCCAAGCTGTCAAATATTGCAAAATCACCAATGAACCGAATTTGGGTATTTCTTGCGGGGTTGCTGTTTCCATACCCTCCTTCCAAGATTCAAGGAAGCTGACAGACGCCCTGTGTCCACTTCCATGGTCCATGGTTGTTGGCAAGAGGGTACCCCCTTGAAGAATTGGAGGGTGGGGATTCCGAGCCCGTGGAATTCCCTATTTGAATTGTCCCTTTGTCGTTGGAAGACTCGAAGAATGAGAATTGGGAAGGTAGAGGGGGGATTCATGTTTGCTCTGTTGGCGGCTCCTGTGGCAGACATTCAAGGGGCCGAAACAGCTCAAGCTTTCCCTTCGCATGGACTACAGGACTCAGAGGGTTTCGGCGTGCCGTCACCACGTGCTTCCAAATCAAAGCGCGAAAGTCATTCTTACCTCTTTGTCCGGCTAAAACGGGCATCAACGTGACTGCTCCGAGCCAAAATGTTGCCTCCTATCTTTTAGTTGAAACTGAAACATACATATACGGTTAAACTATTGGTAACCGGTTTCCTTTGCCTTGTGCCCCTTGGGTCTTACGCTGACAAAGCTCCCTGCAAGGTAACGTTTTTCAGGGACGAAAGAGTCCCGGCCGGCCTGACGAAAGGCGCCGGACGCGTGCCGCGTGCCGCAACTGTCCGAAGTTCCTCTGCAGCACTGGCCCTTGACGAGACATCAACAAGCCGGCAGTTACCAGCGAAGACACGGGCAAGCGGATTTTCCTGAAGGGAGATGGACGCAACAGCACGAGATTGGTGGCCGGAGCCATTGCTCATGCTGTTGCCATCCCTACTTCCTTCTCATGCTGTGGCCCGTGCCACGGTCAATCCTGCGCGGAATGAGCGTGAATCCGCTTACAATTCACGGCTTGACCATGGTACCCATTTCCACTGTCCGGTTGATATGACAGTGGCAGGAGGTTGATTCCGGGTGAATGTTTCGGGGCGAAATGCGTGGCCTGCGCCGGACCAAACTCAAGGGCCTTGTTCAGCCTCGGAAGCTGGTTCGAATCGTTCGGCGGTTGGGTATGGGGTCACGGCATTCACGCTGGCGTATGAGCAAGAGACAATATTGTCAGGGTATTGGAGTGATCACCTATCATTTTTGCTGGGGTTTTGGTGGTCCCGTGTCAAGTTTGAACTGTGTTGTCACATGGTCGTGTTATAGCAGCACTGAAACCACGGGAATACTGGCCAGTGCTCTGAATTGGGCCCACGCGAGGTCTGGAGATGATCCGAGTGTCGATGTCCGGCAGCGGGTCCTGGCCGGGGAATGGGTGCTCACTTCTCTTCAGGGATTTGAGTGGTCCATCTTGTTTGGCCCTGGCTCGATAGACCCATGACCAGATCAAGCCGAAGCAAGGGCTCCCAAGGTTTGGACCCGTGGGCGCTGAGGGGGCATGCCGGCAGAGTGGCTGGATGTGCGAAATCTGAGGGTTTCGGATCTTGAGTGCAAGGTGCACGGGCAGCTTTCTTGTCTTCTGACTTTCCTGTTGGGACTTGTTTGAAGGTCGGTGTATGCGATTGCAAGCAAGCCAACCACGCTCCAACCGGAAAGCTATCGGCACTGACAGTAATCAAGACATCGGGTTGCCTGCAGAATAAACGTCATCCACTGTAGCAGTTGAGTTGTTGTGGGAATGAGGGATTTGTTCAACCACTCCTGCGATAGCAGGATACTGTTTGGCCCTTTTTAAGTGAGGAGACTATGTGGAGACTTCCAGTTGTTTGAAAGAAGTGGGTCATTTCCACAGCCTTTTGAAGCAATGCATGGATGTGTGGCTGTCTTGCAAAATGATTGATTTTGGAAGATGATACAGCGCCCATCTGACTTCTCACGCTACTCTTAGGATGTACTTCGGGGTCAAAAAGGGGTCATTTGGTACATCCTTGCCAGGTACTTTGATAGGGAATCAATGATGTGTCGACAAGCTTTGCTGTGGCAGGCCCAAAAGCTTCTTTGCAGACCCTGGTGTTATGTTCTAGCTCCTTGACGGGTTCCCAATAGGTGCAGCTGCCCTGTTAGTTCCTTACATGGGTACTCCTTGAATGCAGCCGCGTACCTCAAATACCCTCTTTCTTAGGGCATGATGTCGTCGCCCGACTTTGCAACTTAAGGGTCCAAGTACCTTGTGAGGATGCACCCAATGAAATTTGTTTGACCCCCTCTTGAATGGACCAAGGGACTCTGGGCATATGCAAACATAAACTGGGGTTTGCCTTTTTTTGACTTGGCACCGCTTGGCACTGTGGCACCCTTGTTTTTGTAGGTATGGGAAACCAAGAGAAACACTACCCGTTTGGGTGGTCCAACGACTCAAAAGAGAGACCCCCATTTGGAGTCAGGCATGGACCTCCGCGGCTGTGTGCACATCGCCTCCCAGCCCCGAGCTCAAGCGGGGTCCTCGAAGCCAAGCAAGAAGCGACGCAAAAACCCGCAGCCCCCGTAAAAACATCATCTGTTCGTTGGCTTTGAGGGCAAAAGGCAAGAAACACATCTAAGATCCCCTAAAAATGGCCCAAAGCCCTCCAAGAACCCAAAGAGACAGAACCACCGCTGAAGCACTTGAATGAGTTTTAAGCAACAGTGCGAAGTAGAATGTGCATCCGGGAGGGGGTCCTAGTACCGCCCGGGGGGGGCGGGGGGAGGGCAATTGCAGGGGAAGTGAACATGTTGGTATTGTTTTGAAGTTAGGTTTGGCCCCCTTCGCATGCAGTTTCAAGTGCATCAAAATGAAGCCACAAGTTCCAGAGGTGGAGTACTCGCCTAGCTTCCCCGGCTCCTCTTATGGCCGTTTGGAGCAGGCTCGAGGTTTGGCTAGTACCCATTGACGGGGCGAGCACGTAAGTTTTACGCCTAAGCATTTCGTCTTGAGAATGGAGCATGAAACACACGAGTAAGCTGCAACATGTCAGCGCTAGAGCTTGCTTCTCCAAACAAGGAACCAGGAGTAGGAGTGTGAGTGAGAACAGAGCCCAGAGCTGTTCAGTTGGTGGGTAGTGTTCCGTCTAGGTCTAGATTCAAAGATGAACGGGCGATGTTAAGTTGCTGGGGAGAAGCTGCACAGCAGTTGGGAATGGATTTGCAAAGGTGGTGGTATTCGGGCGTGTGTGAAAGTCACACTGACCCAATCCACTGACTGCCAGATTCGCATCGCGCAGTGCTCTAGCCCGACCGTTTGATCGGCACCTACTGTGGTTGCGAAATCCGCTTCTCGCACCGTTCAGAAGCCCAAGAGTAATATGATCAACGAGTCCCCAACGTAAATACCGTAGCAAACCTTATGGTTTCATTCCCGTGACTCATTTCCATGGTGACGGTCTTCCGTCGGGTGAACCAGGTCGGTAATGCATACCCCGGATTAATAAAACCCCCCCCCTCCCCCGCCCCCCCCTCAAGGTCACAAGGTCAGGTCTGTCATTTTTTGAGGGCCCGCCCCCAATATTGGGAAGGGGAACCTTGTGGGAAGGTCAGGTCAGGGAACCTTGTGGGAAGGTCAGGTGAGGGAACCTTGTGGGAAGGTCAGGACCTTGTGGTTGTGGGAAGGTCAGGTGAGGGAACCTTGTGGGAAGGTCAGGTGAGGGACCTTGTGGGAAGGTCAGGTGAGGGAACCTTGTGGGAAGGTCAGGACCTTGTGGGAAGGTCAGGTGGGGGAACCTTGTGGGGAAGGTCAGGTGAGGGAACCTTGTGGGAAGGTCAGGACCTTGGGAATCTTGTGGGAAGGTCAGGTGAGGGAACCTTGTGGGAAGGCTTTACTATTGGGGGGGTGCTGCTGTTGCAAGTACAAAAATAGCTGGTGTGCAAAAGCAGGGCAGCAACCATGGTAGATTAATAGGGGGGTACTGGCTTTACTATTGGGGGGGGTGCAAAAGCAGGGCATCAAACATGGTAGATTAATAGGGGGGCGCTGGCTTTACTAATGGAGGGATGCAAAAGCAGGGCATCGACCGTGGTAGATTAATAGGGGGATGCTGGCTTTACTAATGGGGGGGTGCTGCTGTTGCAAGTACAAAAATAGCTGGTGTGCAAAAGCAGGGCAGCAACCATGGTAGATTAATAGGGGGGTACTGGCTTTACTAATGGGGGGGTGCAAAAGCAGGGCATCGACCATGGTAGATTAATAGGGGGGTGCTGGCTTTACTAATGGGGGGGGTGCTGCTGTTGCAAGTAAAAAAGGAGCTGGTGTGCAAAAGCAGGGCATCAAACATGGTGAATTAATAGGGGGGTGCTGGCTTTACTAATGGGGGGGTGCTGCTGTTGCAAGTAAAAGGAGCTGGTGTGCAAAAGCAGGGCATCAAACATGGTAGATTAATGGGGGGGTGCTGGCTTTACTAATGGGGGGGTGCAAAAGCAGGGCATCAAACATGGTAGATTAATAGGGGGGTGCTGGCTTTACTAATGGGGGGGTGCTGCTGTTGCATGTGCAAAAGTTGGGCAAGTTAAAATTAGATTAAACACGTATGATGTAGCGGGGGGTTTGGGGGAAGGGAGCTTTAATAGGGGGGGGTCCGGGGAAAAAATGTTATTGTGGGGGTGCCAGGGCAGATTTCTGGGTTTCAATTAAAACGAGTATTGCCGAGAGATCTTCAAGGAAAACCAGGCGCTTTAATAGGGGGGGGGTTACTAATCCTGGGTCAGCATTATCCCAACGGATTTTGGCGTGAAGCCTGTTATGCGGCAACCCAATCAAGTCAACAGGGGGCGATTCAAGGGAAACCCTTTCCCCCTTTTAAAGGCCTCGTCGATTGTGGCGGAGTCAACCAACCCCAACCCATGATAAAGGCAAAGCAGAAGGAAACTGGGTTTCCAACCTGCTCCTTTGAGCAAAATGCTTCCCAAGGTGCTGTGCTGGCATTGAAGGCGAGGTCTTTGGGTCGTGGTCACGTTCGGTTTGCTAGTGATTGAAGCCTCCACGATGGGTGTCAACTTGTGGTTGCCCTTTTGGCGAGCCTCAAAAATGGGAGACTGTAGTTAACGTGGCGCCCGCAAATCGGGGTTTAGGGTTTAGAGTTTAGGCTTTGTGTTTGAGTGAGAGATATTCAGAGAGGGTCGTCCAAATGATAAAAGAGCAAACACCAGAACCGCAACAAAATACAAATTTGCAGACCCTGTGTCCCCAGCCACTTTGGGTCTGCAGACAAAGCTGCTTTCTTTTGCAACACTCGAGATGTTTGGTTTTTTGGTGGAACGCCCAGAAACCTGGAGAATATAAAACGAAAAGCATCCACGAGTTGTCCAAACAAGCATGCATACTCTATGTCCCAAGCCTAAGCCGCTTAGGGTCCGCATTATTTGTTGGTTTGTTTAAGCACTTGTTGTGGATGACTGGATCCCGAACAAAGCGCAGAAGCCGAGTCTAGTCTCAGCTGGATGCACCAAGTATTTGCTTCTTATTACTAGAATCTGGGTCCATGCCCAAACCAACGATGACTTTTGCGGGAAGTGCTCATTCATGCGTATGACTCCAGCACCAAGTATCTCTGGAACTGGCTCTATTTCCTGATTGTGTTTGCGCAATTCGATCACCCTGCATGGGCGCCCAAAGCCAGACCAGAGGGCTGGAAACCCAGAAAGCCCCGGTTTTTGGCGGGGCCATGGTTGTCTTTCTGGCTTCCGTTTTGACTTCCATTTGCTTCAGAAAAAGTGTGTTACAGTATTGTTGCCCCTGTTGGTTGAATCTATCACTACTCGTCACTACTGAAAATGTGTGTTGGTTCTGGAGGGAAGCTATCACTGCTGGTCACTGGAACAATGTATGTATTTTTCTCAGGAGGCGTTTTTGATTCGCAACGGGCAGCTCGCCAGCCCAAAACTTGGTGGCTCCCAGCCATCCGGTTCCTTAGCTTTTCAGCCGTTTAGGGTGTAGTGGTTGGATTTCCTTTTAACCCACTAAAAGTTAAACATTAGCAGGGGCTCTGAGGGCAGCCCACAAAAACATCGGGATGTTTGGCCGTCAAAGGAAGCTGGGCCTCGCTCGCGCCTGCGCGATCCTCAGGCGAGGCCTGCGGCCAACAGCTCGAGAGCTGCACGCGGCCGGCGAGGCGGCGAGGCAGCAACGGGGGCAGAAGCGACCCACCGTGGGGCCTCACTGGAGGTTGGCAAAGCGGGGGTTGGCTGGTGGATTTTGACTGGAGGTTCAAATCATTTTCTGCGAGCCAAGGGCTAAGTGAAAAAGTAGCAGGGCTCCTTAAAAGATCTCCATTTTGCAACCATTTGAGACATGGTTTTTTCAACACCAAAATAAAGGGAAACCATTTGCAAGTTGCAATGTTCAGGTGTATAATGCACCCAGATCCCTGCTGAGTTCATGAACTTTAGGCTTTTTGGGCTTGGACCATTTGGACTTTTTTTGGGCCATCCACTCAGCCAGTGAGAGGCCGTTTTTGGTGGCTGCTTTTTTTTTTGTTTGTGGCGTCTGGCCTTTCGGCCTCCCCCCAAAAGCGGGTGTTAATGAGTGGTTTAGGAGAGAGGGGGTGGTATCCCTGTGTACCCTCTTCATTTGGCCGAGTTCTGCCAAAGTTTGGATGAGAAATCTTCTTGGAAAACCGCCAAAGAAAAGGTATCTTGATGTTTCCCTGGCGTCTGGTCTGGGGAAACACTTTGGTAATCCGTTTCGCTGTTGACTTCTGACGAAACTTTGCCTTCAACAAACACCACATTGGCCAAAGAACTCTTTGCGTTTCCATGACCCTAAAGTAGACATGTACCGAAAATTGTGGGGCAATGGCCTGAGTGGGGAGAAAAACCACCAAGGAAAGGTGACACTTACCTCGATCTATGAGCAAAAGGTCATGACCGAGATTTGAGGGTGGCTTTCCGCGACCTCAGGGTTAAGCCAGGCTTAGACTATAGAACGGTTGAAGCCAAATTTAGTAGAGAACCGCTTTCGCATGGGCAAAGACAAACCCCTACACAAAAGGTCAACACAAAGGGGCTTACATCCAAGTTGCAAGACTCGAAAACAAGTTCATTAGAATCTGGGCCGTTGACCCGTTATCAAACTTCGATCTTTGCCTGACGGCCGAGGGGCTTGATGATCAAAAGGAGCGCGAGATGTGCTAGGTGTGTTACAATGCCTTGGTTGCCCTTTGTTGGTCTTCTTGGGCAAACACAAGTGAACCCACAGACCCCAACGATACCTCAAGGAACTCGTTTAACCAGAGAGGCCCCAGTTTGCGCCAATATGACAATCATGTGTGTAGCACCCTATTTCGGAGCCCATGTTAGCACCTATTTACGGTCTAAACCAACACGGCAGAAAGGGTACGAAGAAGAAACACCCATCTCTTTTGCCGGCTGTGGGATCGATGAGGCATGGAGACAGTGCTGTACCTCGGAACGGCCGGGAGTTTCTCAAGTCGACGGATTGGACGCGGGCGTAAATTCAGTCGAGCCAAACCCGGGCAATTGCAGGGTGGGCGACAACCCCAACCAAAAACGGGCGCGGTTCGTTTTCTGACACGAACTGGGGTAGGACATTCAAATATCAGGTTCGGGTTATGACTCAGTTCCGACCCATGCTGGCTAATTAAGGTTGTCCTGTTGGGACAAACGATGGGCCAACTCTTGGCTTGCAGCTGGCTTTGTCTTGTTTTGAGTGTACCCTTTCCTGTTGTGTTTCAGAAAGCCACCATGTTGTTTTGGGGGAGAGTCCCCTAAAGAAAAGGACACACCCATATTGACGAGATTCCGGGCATTCCTTGGACCCCACAACTCCTTGCCATCACATGGGTGGTTGTCGGAAAGGCCAAGGGAAGGCCCATGGGATGGCCGATTTTGCAGCTCCATGTCCTCTGAAGATGAACATGGGAGGAAGCTCGCCTGAGTCTTTCTGCAAGTGGGCGAAAGCGGACTAAACCGTGTTCCCGCAGAATATGTGGGTCGTGGTTGGCTTGTATATCCACGTGAAGTGGAGATCCACAACAAATCGTAGGCAACTTGCTGCTTGAAGCCCAGTCAGGGGTTTCCAACAGAGAGGCGCCCAAATCTTGATCATGGGAGTTTCTCAAAATGCCAGTTGTTTAGACGGAAGCCGACAGGAAACAACCAATGTAGGTCGCCCTGTATTTTGAGAAACACCCACATGGCCCTGGAGTTTGTTTAGCACAAGCTATAGCCAGCACGCACGTCACACGATCGTAGCAATGAACCGTGTTGCTTGTTGGCATCCCTTCAATTGGCGAGTTATGTCAGATGCGCGGAAGACCAGCGAAAGTGAGGACATGCGTGGCAGAGGTGGACCCAGTGAAGCTTGTTGCTGGGAGTGCTGCAACAGGATCCCTTTGCACGGCCATGATTATTGCAACGCGTTGCTGCGTTGCGGGAAAGCCGGAGTGAAATGTCATCTCCGCTGAGGAGATATTGTTGGTTTCCAAGATGTATGTCAGGCAAACACGGTTACAAACCAGCAAGCCCTGTGGATGCGCAAAGTCCAATTCGCACCACCTGGGATAGATGAAGCCTACTAGCCAAAAGTATCTAGGAGGCTTTTAGTTCTTTTTCAGCTTGCCCAGCGTGATCCCATGGTATCTGATGTTCTTCAGCCAGCAAGGAACTGGTCACTTGGTCGATCTTCACAAGGTCAGGGACCTTTCGGGTCCAACAGACCGCAACAAATTGGGTGTGTATTTGTTTGGAGTTGCTGGCATTCATGGCATTCAAGTGAAAGCAACGAGAAAAGCAAAGCCCTTGCCGGGTTCCAAGGGCATCCCCCCTTTTGGCTGGAAATGTTCACCCGGGAGGCCTTTGCGCCGCCCTTCCCAGAGCCGGCAGCATGGGCTTTAGGCGCATCCGCAAGTGAAAACACGCAGAAACAAATGGTTCCCTACTTTTGGGACAAACTCCCTTGGTCAAAAGACTCACCCATGGCCAAGGTGCGGGATGCTACTAATCGGGTTCCATTTTGCACCAAGAAACAATGATGGGCGCAGCATCTGAAAGGAACCTTTTGTTAGAATCCATGTGGGGTCACCCAAGTATGCTATAGCGCTACGGAGGGCAGGGCTAGATGCCGCCCGATCCCAAGAGTGCTTGCCTGAGTCGCTTGTGCAGCGGTTGCCGTGTTTTGCCTCGTTGAAGGCTTCAAGGATCACCTAAAAAAACAAAAACGGGAGATGTTTTTTTTCACTGGGAATGCGAAAAAGCGGGAACCCTATTGCTTGGAAGGCAAACTCGGGTGAGTTCTCGAGTGATAGAGGCTCCGGTTCTCAGGGGTCCTCACTGCTTCCATTTGCTGAAATGAAGGTGTTTTGTTCACTTCCCCCTGTTGGTGTTTTCTTAGGGAATCCATTTCACTACTGGACATATATTTATATGTACATGTTGTTTTTCGTCCTTTTTTTTCCCAGGGGTCTTAACCAAAATAGCCCCTCCGCGGGGACCATTGACCTCAGCCGTTGCCTCCTTGGAGGTCGGGAGGCTGTCTCCTTTGCCTGGAGCCAAGGGGCCGAGGGGCCGAACGTCTCGGGCTCTGAAGGATTTTGTATGGGGCAAGAGTTGCCTCTGTTCTTGGCAAGTTGTTTTTTCTGTTTGGTGCAATCTCATCTTGTATGGGGCCTTCTGTTTGGTTTCTTGCATCTTGGAGCAAACTCAGCCCTGTAACATGAAGCTTGGGCCAACCCACCCTAAGCCCGCCTAAGCCGCCCCTAAACGCGCCTTTTGCCCCTAAACTCACCCTTCAATTCCACCCTAAAGCCCGCGAAAACCACCCCAACTCAGTCCCACACCCTTAAACCAAACCGTAAATTGTCTGGGAACTCATATTGCTTGGGTAGAGTTACCTTCCCTGTTCTTGGCAAGTTGTTTCTGTTTGTTTTTGGTTTTGTGGTTCTGTTCATTTTGAGGGGCAACGTGTTTTGCTACCATACCAAGGTTGTGAAGTTGCGATAGGACAACCCCTGGCCTGCAGTACCGGTTGTCAGCGTGTGTCCAAATTTTCCTGCGGGCTGTACGTATCACGTTTTCTCTGTCAAAATTGCCTGGTAAAAGGCTGTAGAGAGGCTGTGTGACTGTGTGCTGAAAATGGGTGGGAGTGGTGAGGCGTAAGAAAAAAACATCAATGCAGCGAGCTCGTGGCTGTCTGGACGACTTAGTTGGTACCTCTCCCGGCAATCTAACTTTGCCTTTTCAAACGGGGCCTGCGGCTGGGCGCAGCTCATGCGCAGGCGTCGCCGCATTCAATCGCAGTAATGCAAATCAGCAAACCAGGCTCCGAGAGCACATGTTGTTCTGAATCGGCGCTTGCGAAGTCACATGTCTAAATCGGCACGGCAGTCGCGTGTTTCTCCTGGCTGGCTCGCTTTCGCCATGGTATTGCTGCAAAGACCTGCCAACGACACCACAGGCAGGCTAGAGTTGATATGTCAAGCAACTAGGCCAAGCGCATCACAAATCCAAACATTGACCATCCAAATTGCGCGTGCAAAACTCAAACTGAGCATGCCCAGCCCATAGGCTACTAGACCTGTCCTCCACGGCTGGCAAACGCAGTGGCGTGCGGGGCGCCCACTGGAACGCATCCCGCTACACCAATATAATCTCCGGGTTGAGGCAACAGGACAAACGCATCAGCCAGATGATACCGCTTCAACGTGAGTGTTCGCACGTTTACAGGAAGCCCCCTTTTTATCTATTCACCTTTCGATTTAAGCATCCAACTACATCCAAGCCAGAAAGGCCATGACTTGCTATGACCATGTAGCTGCTGTGACGTACGAGCCCTTAGAGGCTCAAGCCTTCCCGGCCAAGCTTTTGCGAGAAGGGGAGGGGACACTGCAGCCCCCAGTGCTCCCTGAACACGCCAGCAACGTCTCAGACGTTTTCTGTGTAAAATCCGAGGAGAGCTGGCGTGTTCTAGGTGTATTGCCGGATAGTGGTCCACATCATGCTGGAGGTGCAGGCTGCAACGCCCAAGCTTCAAGTACAAGCCGGTCAAAGCACTTGCCTTCCTCCACGGAGAGAGAAATTTTCGATCTCTCAGCCCACCCTACTACCGTACCCACTGCCCTTCTAAGCCCACCCTAAACGCGCCTTTTACCTTAAAATCCACCCTAAACAAGGGGCCAACCCCCGCCGGGCTGGTCACTGGTCATTGAGTGAGCGCGCATTGTCCCTGTCAGTTGAGACGCAAAACTATTGTTTGTTGTTTTACCTAAACTCACATGCAACGCGCAGTAGATTGTTCTACGGTACTGTAAATGCCTCAGCAAAAGTTTAACTTTTGCAGGTTAAAGGAAATTATGATGGGTATGCAAAAAGTTGAAGTCTAAAGGTCCAACCCAATAGCAGTAGAATGTGTGGTCCATCCGGGAGGGACATGGAGCAAACAAGGTGCCGACTAAAAGGAGGCCCTGTCTTCAGAAAACGCCCATACGTCTCAACCACCCCCGCCATGCTCCGCAAGCCCAAACTTGTCACCCGGAAAATTGCGAATCGGCTTTCCTGTTGGTTCCCCTTTTCTTTCACCAACCTGACATGGGTACCGCGCCTCGGAGAAATAAGACGGACCACACTCAAGCTTTGGTTAGCTTGAGGGCAATGAATTTCGGAGGTCCGAATCGCGTCAACACACCCAAGTGGAAGAACAGATAGGGGGTTGAAAGCAGGTTGGTTTCCTTTCGGTGCCCATTAAGCAAAAGGGGATGCCCTCACTTTTGGAGTGGGTTGGCCAACAAAAGTCAAGCTTACAACTACGTAAAATGGTTTTCCCAAAAAGTCACTCAAGTCCAGGAACGCAGGCAGCGAGGTGATGATATTTATTGAGTTGCCCATGTGCGCCGTGGTCAAAGCTCGTTTTGCCTCCTTTTGTCTATGCTGCCAGTCCAGCTCGGCCATGTTGGCGTGACTGGCTGGGGATACACGACCTGCTGTACAACTGTGTCATGAACCTGTGCAGGTGGCGCACTTCTGCGCCACCTCTAGTGTCAACAGCTCCTTGTGGCCCCGGAGTTACCCCTTGCGGCAACGCCCTGCGGAGCCACTCCTCCACCCAATTCCATCTATCCTCCGCTATCGAGCCTTCTTTTTCCAACCAGACGGAAACGAAACCAATCACATATGGAAGTGGGGGCATACAGTCAAGTGCCATTGAGACAGGCATGTGGGTGGTCAGGAGAATGTGGAATGGCTTGGCCCCACGTTATCCAACTTGGATTGGCTGTCCGTTTGAACCCTTTGGCTTTTTCTTTGGGCATCCATTGCGAGGTGAATGCGCACTTGCTGTCCTCCATGGTCAATTTAGGAGAGGGACGCTGGCGACTCACCAACTTCCAATTGCCAAAGCCGACGCGCAAACACACATATATGTCCCTCATGCACATGTGCCACCGGGCGCAGCCTTGCGGCTCATGAGCCGCTCAGGAGCGGGCCCCTGGGTAGGAGGGTCTGTCCTGGCCACGGCCGCCCTTCGCGCGGCTCATCAGGCCTTCACCGGCCCTGTGGTGGACTTCGAGCACGTGCTCTCCAGGTGCAGGGCTGTGGAGTGGGGGCGGCACGAGCTGGACATCCCGTCACTCTGCTTGGGGGTGATCCTGGGGCTGGTTCTATGGCCGCTGCTCGAGCTCGTGGTGCTCCTCAAGCAGTGGATGGTGGTGAGCCTTCGGGTTCGTCTGCTACAAGATCAGCTGAGGTGGTTGGCGGGAGAGGTCAAGCAGTTGCGCTTCGGCCTCAACGACATCAAGGCCGAGATCGAACTCGTCAACAGCAAGATCGAGCGCATAGAGGACCATATCTTGGGAGCGGAGGATTTTGAGCTTGTGATGGACGAGCCCCCTGAACCTGAAGGCCTTGGTTGTCGTCATGGGGGAACCGCAGATGGACCAGGATTTTCGGGGCGACCTGTTGGAAAAGTTGGGTCGAAGGGCAAGCCTGGTGGAAAGACGGAGGAGGAGCGTGCAGAGATCGCGCAGGGCATCGGTCGGTTTTTCATTCGGTGCCTCAACGGCGGCTATCGGGGCAAGTCGGGCAGGGACAACCTGGACTTGCCGAGCTCCATCTTCGTGGTGATTCGGGACATCTGGGGCGTTGTGCACCTCGACCCGGTGAAGGTTTTCGACTCCTACCAGGGGGCCAAGGCCGTGGTGTCGCTCAAGGGCAAGTTCGGGGACTCCATTTTCTGTGGGTTCCCCAGTGTGTGGGAAGCTAAGGTTGCGGTGTCTACGGCCGGCGGGAGCTGGCCGAGGACACAATGAGTGAGCTTGCGGAATCTATCAGGGACGGAGGGATCGACCTTGCCTCCGTTGCCGTCGTCAGCAACAAGGTCGAAGGAGGGGTGGCATTTGACTACACCCCATTGCGGTTAGAGCTTGACCGCCCCGAGGGCTCCGTAGTCTCCCTGGGCGTGGTGGTGGTCGCCTCTGTTGAGGACGGCCGCGGATTAGTTGCAGTTCCAGGGGAAGTGTGGAATCGGGTGACGGCAAGACGGGTTCTACCTTCCGGAGCCCTTGAAAAGCCATTGGCCGCCACAGTGGCGGGATGCCTGGCCGAGGACATGCTGGAAAGCGAGGACGGCCTCGACGTCAAGATCTGGCTTGGTTGGATGACCCCGGAGTTGCTCGACAAGTTGGAAGAGGGGATCGACAGCCCGCTGGATTACCCCTTCAAAGGTCGGCGAGGGGAGACAGGCCACCTGCCGTGGGCTCGGGCCCTGGCCATTTTGGCTCGGGACATGGGACAAGTTTGGGCTTCATGTGATGATGGAGGACACGGGCCCAAATTTGGATTCGCGGGTGAGTCAACTCGAAGCAGGCCTCGACGGCATCAACCTCTCCCTCAAGGAGCTCACCAAATCACTGAAGAAAGAGGAACCGGCTTCCGCCTACGAGACCCCGGACGAGGTTGCTCCACCGCCCGGCCTTCAACGAGCTCCTGCTCTAAAGAAATCCAACCCCCTGGGTGGAAAGGGCGAAGCAAAGGTCACAGGGCTCGACGCCGGGGTTGTTCGAGCCGCCCTTGCTGCCGGAGTGCCCCTCGAGCACCTGGAGATCATGGGCGACATGGTGAAGAAGAAGCCAGGGCGCCTCGCCGATGTTCCTCGGCATCCGGGAGCGCGAGACCGGGCCCAACGAGCCTTGTCCGAGAGCGAAGAGGAGGACCTGAACGAACCGGTTGCGGAAGATTTGGAGGAGCCGGAGGATCCAGTAGGGCGAGCTTTGGTGCGGCTGACCAACATCGTGCAGAACCTCACCGAGAGCAAGCAGAAGAAGAAGGCCACGAGTTTAGAAGAGGCCCTGGATGGGTGCGGGTCCTCCGGAGGTGCTGGCGGAGACGCCCTGGGGCTTTCCTTCCGGCGTCAAGCCCAAGCCTATCGCCAGCTGCAGAAGGCCCTCATCGAGAACCCCAAAGACATCTGCAAGAGCATCAGCGCGAACATGAGAGAGGACTTCGCCCTTCGCCGAGGCGGTCCTGGGTGTGCGGACCTTCACGCAACATGGCGGGGGTGGGCAGAGCACCGGTCGCGCATCCAGAATTTTCCTTCGGTGGTGCGATGGTCATGGGCGGTTGCCGGAGCTCTGGACGCGTTGGAGTCTGGGTCTCAGGACGAATGCAAAGCTCGCCTTATGCTGATGCTGGCTCAGGCCGACCAACAGGCAATCGACCGAGGCTCGTGGTTGATGGCTCAGGAGTTCTCTCTGGAGGCACCCCCGCCGTACAGCTCCTTCGCGGCCCATCAAGCAATCACGGCTGCCGAACTACAACACAGCAAACTGATCGATCCTCGATGGGTCGACACCTTCATGTCCCACCTACGGGAGGCAGACGACTACGCCGACAGGAGGAAGAAGTTGGACTCAAAGCAAAGGCCCAATCCGGCCTGGAGCAGCGAAGGTCACCAGGAGCCCGCTTACAAGAAGGGCGCCGGGAAGACCAAGAAAGGCTTCGGGAAGAAGGGAGAGGGGGGAGGCGCCGACGCCCCCCCCGCTCAGAACTGAGCCAGCCGCCGAGCGCCTGGTCGCCTCAGTCTTCTTTGCTCGGCCCTTTGCCCGGCGGTTCTACTTCAGCGCGGGCTGGCCATTCACTGGTCGGTACTGCGATTGGGGGTCGGGGGCCGTACATAGGGGACGGCGGCAAGGCCACGGGCGCGCTCTGGTCAGAGGAGGTGGTTTCACCGGGACGTGGAGCGTCCCCCCCGGTCCGCGGGGAGGTGGTGGTTGGGAAGAAAGTCCCCGGCCAGAATGCCTCTCGGGCCACAATCCTTCGAAGTTGGAGTGCTGTTCCGCGGCTCATCCTTCGGCAGCAGACTCCTTTTTCAAGTTTTCTTCGATCTCTGCTTGAACGGTCGCAGGCCCCGCAAGAGAGGGCCACAGCTCCTGTTTGGCCTATGCCGCTGCCTTACTTTGAGGTTTTCAAGCCTGGCGGATCCCCGCCCGATGAGGAGGCGTCCTTCAAGAAGTCTATATGCTTGATGGTGGGTATGCTCAGTTGGCTCCATCTTCGACAGCCTCCAGTCGCGCCGAGAGAAATCTGTGGGTTGCATACGCTCACTGACGAACAGGCGGCGGTGGTGAGCCGGCTTGAGCGGCTTAGTGGAGCTTGGAAATCCTACCCCGACATCCCCGCAGAGGAGATGGGACGGGGTGCAGCAAAAATTGAGTTGTTTGAGGAAATCACGGGCAAGTTGGAGGCCTCGTTCACTGCGCTACACGCGCCGATGCCCTATGCCTCTCAAAAGAAGAAGAAGTTCTCCTCAGGGGCCGCACAGCACAGTCGCCCCACGGTCCTGGGGCGTTCTAGGAACGGCAACGTCTCTGCCGCTCAGGAGATTGTGGCCGACAGGATCCGTTTCCACGGGAAGCCTTGCTTTGATCCTCGGCCCTATCTCGATCCTGGTAGCAAGGAGCTTTACGAACGCCCCCTAGAGCTTGCAATGGCCAAAGACCTTTACATGGGCGTCATCCCGCGAGTCAGAGTTCATGCGAGCCCGTCTGAGAAGTTGAAGCTCTTGGAGGTCTTCGACAAGGCAGGACGCCTTGGCTTTGTGGGCTACTCCACGGTGGACCCGGAGTTGGTGAACGGCCTGTTCTCCGTGGTCAAAGACTTAGAAAAGGACAGGCTGATTTTAGATGCTCGTCCTGGAAATTGCTTGCAGGAGCCGCGGAATAGGTGGATCTACTCGATGGGAAGCACCCGAGCGATCCTGGAGATAGTCCTCAGACCTCGAGAAACCCTGGTGATGGCCACGGACGACCTCAAGGACTTCTACTACTGCTTTACGGTTGGAGCAGAGAGGATGCGGCGGAACGCTCTGCAGGGCCCTTTGCCTACGCACGTGGCTAAGCGCTTCTCCGCGTTCCCTTCGGAGCTCAGTCGGGAGAAGTCCGTTTACGCCTGCCTCAAGTCTCTGGCCATGGGTGATTCCTCGGCGTGTGAGTTTGCCCAGACCTGCCACATAGCCATGGGCCTGCGGGCCCGCGCCTTCGACATGCGGCATTTGTTGACCCTCCGAGGCCGGGTACCACGGGGCGACTTCATGGCTGGGGTTGTGATTGACGACTTGGTCATGATGCAGAAGGTTGTCACTTCTTGTGGGTTGCCGGTTTTTGGAGATGAGGCCGCTGGCAGGCTCCGGGCCAGTACAAGAGCGTAGGGCTCACAGCTCACCCGACCAAGGGCTCCACCGACAGCACTGTTGGTGAGTTTTGGGGCGCCCATCTCGATGGCATCAGCGGGCTGGTCCGGCCAAACCCGCGGAGGGTCATCCCAATCGTGATTGTCACCTACAGGATCGCTTCGCTGGGCGTCTGCACCATCGCCTTGCTCGAGGCATTGACTGGATGCTACTGCGCCATCTTCGGTTTCCGGAGGAGGCTCATGTCCCTCATCGAAGGCGTGTACGGCATCCTCTCTAACATGGACAGGCGGGACATCATTCGGCTTTCCACCAAGCATCTGCGACGAGCTATGTCCTGGGCTTTGCTCAGCCCGCTGGCCGTGGGTGACTTGCGAGCGCAGCCACACCCGTACCTCTACATGACCGATGCCTCGGACTGGGGGGAAGCTGCAGTTTGCAGTCGCCTCCCCGAGCCCTTGGCACACGAGTTCCTGCGGCACTCCGTGATCAAGCCTACTTGGACGCGGTTGCTTTCCCCTTTCAAGGTCTATCTCAAGGAGCGCGGGAAGCTGCCCCCTGAGCTGGAGTTGCCCGATGGGTCGTGCTTCAGGGATCATCCGTTGTGGGAAACAGCCGCTCGGTGCTTATCCTACAGCGTGTGTCGGGCCAGGCATGCTCGCCGGCCTAGGCACATCAACATCGGGGAGGTAAGGGCTGCTTTCATCGCCGAAGAGGCTGTGGGGCGCGAGGGTGGCGACGCTCGAGTACTGATTGGCATTGACAGCCAGGTCGCCATCGGCGTGCTATGCAAAGGCCGATCGGCTTCCCCTTCGCTGAATGCCGAGCTCCGATCCAGCCTCGCTAGGTACCTCGGTTTTGGCATCTACGAGCACGTCGGCTACGTGAGGTCTTTACAATCCCAGCGATGACCCTACGCGCGGGAAGCCCCTGAGAGAACCAGAATGTGAAACTCCTAGCTGGTGGATCCTTGCTGGCAATGGAGAGTTCGAGGCAATGGACAACATGATGGACGACCTCGGCGTCAGCCCTGAGGCCGCGGCCGACTTGCCCCAGACCAGCGAGCTGTTTGATCATGGCCCTGATTTTATGCATTCACGGCTAAAGCGGCGGAAGGACAAGGTCAAGGAGAAGCTTGTTGATAGAGCTTTGAAGTTCAGGACCAGGACATTGGCATCCGTGAAGGAGCCCCGCTCCGTTCAAAAAGGACCTTGGAGCCCTCGTATCCAAGAACTGCTGGAGGCCATCCCGCAGTCTCAGATCAGACTGGCAGCCGGCTGCAACTGGCCTCCTGTCCTACGCGGATGTCTCGATCTGTACTCCGGGAAGGCCGGCTTCGCCAAGGAGATTGTCAGGCTTGGATGCCCCTGGGTTGTCACCTTTGACATCGCACACTCGCCGGCCGAAGACTTGGGAGACCAGAGGATGCGTGAGCTCATCGAAGAGCTAGTACGGGGCAAGGCCTTTGAGATCGTGTCAGCTGCTCCGGTGTGCTCATCCTTTTCACGAGCAATCACGCCAGCTGTGAGGACCCGTGAGTACCCTAGAGGAGCCCCTGGCCTTCGACACACCATGGCCCAGAAGGTTGAGATGGGAAATGATCACTCAGCCTGGCTCGCAGGGCTCGTGGAGATTGTCCTCACGCGGCGCCTGGTATTTTGGGTTGAGAATCCCGACAGCAGTTTTCTTTGGCTACAACCTGAATGGGTCGGGCTGTGCGAGAAGTGGAACCTTGGAGCCTACCGATGCGACTTCTGCGTCTATGGCACCCCGTGGCGGAAACGGACTAAATTTCTCTGCAACCTGAGCGTGGCGGGGGTCAAGCATCTCTGTTCCGGCGGGCATGAGCATAGAGTTCTCCGAGGCCGATCTTCCTTTCACAAGATGTGCTGGACTTTGGTGGCTCAGCCCTACCCGACTGGACTCTGCAAGTTTTTGGCAAGATCTGCAGTTGAGACCTGTGGCTTTTCACCTCCTATGCGGCGGCGCCTGGATATCGCTGGCTGTGCCCGAGTTATGCCACGAGTCGGAGAAGCTGGGAATCCTGGACCACCCCCTCGTGTTGCCCGTGCCGGTGAGCGTCGCCTTGACGAGGTTGAACTCATTCAAGACCGCACTGCAAAGTTGGGATCAAGGGTCTGGCTTCAGTTTTGCGATTGGATCAACAAGAGTTTGGCTGAGGTAGCCCTTTCAGCTTACAGCTTTGGTCCGTTGCTAGCCCAGATGCTGGTGGTCTACGCCAATGAATCTTTTCGACGGGGCGGCCGGATCTATGAGTTCAGGCACCTTCTGGCCTATGTGCAGCGAGAGTTCCCCTCCTATCGCGCCGACCTCTACCCTGCTTGGAAGCAAGTGACGAGATGGGAAGTTCTTGAACCGGTTCAACATCGACCTCCCCTGCCAGAAGCCATTTTTCGTGCCGCAATAGCGACTGCTATCGGATGGAGCTGGTGGCGGTGGGCCGCGATTACCGCGGCCGCCTTTGTCGGGGTCTCTCGTCCTGGAGAGCCTTTGCGGGCGCTGAGGTCAGACCTAGTGCTTCCCAGCGACCTCTTTCTAGCCGATTCAGGAGTTGCTTACATTGGGGTGCGGAATCCAAAGGGGAAGTTGCGTGGCCTCGGGAAGCTCCAGCACTTCAAAGTTCAAGATGCGGAGATTGTTGCGTTGCTGGAGGTGGTTTTCGCCAAGCTGGACAGGCGGGAGAATCTGTACTCGGGGTCTGCAGCTTCCTATCGGCGGAGGTGGGATGCAATAATGGAGGCGCTATCGGTGCCACGTTCCCTCAAGTATACTCCAGGATCTCTCCGTGGAGGAGGAGCAGTTGCGCAATACCGGAAGGGCGTTGATCTGAACCAGCTATTATAGCTGATGTGGGCGATGCGAATCAAGCGCATCGAGACGTTGCAGCATTACCTCCAGGAAGCCACCACCGAGGTGACCCTCGCTAAACTGCCGCAGCAGAGCCGCACTAAGATCCAAGCAGCCGCTGGTCTCTTTCCTCATCTCTGAGCGGGTTGCAAAGAGCGCTCTAGCACGTAGCGTTCATCCTGACCGCTGCCGGCCCTTCTCATGTGGTGGATTGGCTACTTCCACTCCTTTGGCTTCTCGGTCTGTGGCCTGCTCCGGGGTGCCCCTACTTGCGGCTCATGGGCATCGGGATCTTCGCTGACCTCGTTGCTGAGCCTAACTGGCTCCCGGTGGCCAAGGCGAAGCCACTCTTGGGGTGGCCACCCATTAACAGCGTCAAGGACGGCCAGCAGAGAGAAAAGGCAAAGAGCGCGGGAGGTGGCGTGGGTGCATGTCCCTCATGCACATGTGCCACCGGGCGCAGCCTTGCGGCCCACCCGCCCACCCTTTGGCTACTTCCACTCCTTTGGCTTCTCGGTCTGTGGCCTGCTCCGGGGTGCCCCTACTTGCGGCTCATGGGCATCGGGATCTTCGCTGACCTCGTTGCTGAGCCTAACTGGCTCCCAGTGGCCAAGGCGAAGCCACTCTTGGGGTGGCCACCCATTAACAGCGTCAAGGACGGCCAGCAGAGAGAAAAGGCAAAGAGCGCGGGAGGTGGCGTGGGTGCATGTATATATATATACATATATATATATATACATATATATATATATATATTTGCCCAATGTCCTTTGTGGACAACATATACCAGTCCGTGGCCGAGTTTGTGGAATTGATGGTTTGGCTTTTGGATTTTGAGTCCCCATCTTCATTTTCTTGAAATCAACCGGGAAGGCACGACCCACAGGTGGAAATTGGCTTCAGGATCCCCTCTCTGATACCAAAAAGATGTTGTGATGAAGTAGTCCTGGGCTGGCGGGTAGCGTACAACTCGTTTTACATCATAACCTCCGTGGCCTCCGGCACATCCACAAACCCTTCACCAGCGCACGGGGGCCGGGCGTCGGCCGTGACGTGCAAACCTAAGGTCGTGGACAACTTGGAGGACTTGAAAGTCCGTCTCGCGGTCAGGGCCCCGAAGCTTGCGTCAATCGGAATATCTTGAAGAACGGGGAGCTGAAAGATGAATAGATTGCACTTAAGTTGCGTGACCTGGCTTCCGCATCATATTGGGAACTTGGGGATGAGCTACGCTCAGAACTTGCGTTTGGTCTAGCACTACTACGAATGGCCACCATTCCTTTTTAGGTTGACTCATTGCTTTTCCAATTTGCCACTAGGGGTGTGGGGTGTAAATGGTGTTTTGCTTTTATAGGTGTCTCTTTTAATCCATAAAGGGTCCGATCCCAAAACCAGCTATACAAGATCCGCATCCGCTGGCGTTTTCCACTGGCCACTTGTTCAACGCCCCTCCCCCTCACCCAGAACAATGACATCAAACTCCCCCAAAGCAGAGGAGATCACTGGCGATGTATCCGACTGGTTGGGCCCTCGATCCAACGAGGTGCCCGAGATTCTGCTGGGCTTCTGGCTAGCGCCGCTGGAGGCGATGAATCGACTTGCCTCTCGTGGAATGAATCCATCAGAACCCAACAGCCCAGTAAACTTTTGAACCCTGACAGCTGCAAACCACCCCGAGTAGGGCAACGACCCCCAAACCTGAATCAGCTGTTGGGGAATGGAAACAGGGAGTGTCGCAAGATTTGTTGTTGTTCCTTCTGGCCCGTTGTGAAGCCCTGCGCTCCGTTTTGAAGCCGATGTTCGAGCCCTACCTTTGAAGGCAAGGAGCCACATGCAGTCCACACAGCCGCCAGGGGAGTTGTGGAATTTAGAGGTCCTGGCTGGTATCCCTTAAAATGGAGGCACAAGACAGCAGGCTCCAAAAAGGTGGCCAACTTTTTGACAGCCCTTCCACCAGATTTCGAAGCCATGCCCCCCACCCCCGGTTTTGTCCAGCTGCTTGGCCGGGGTTGGCAGGCATCCACGAAGAAACCGACTGCAGCCATTCGCCAGGAGCTTGAGGTGATAAACCTGGACACGCCGATAGACCTCCCAGAGCCAAAAGGAAGCGGTTGGCTTGCGACGCGGGCGATGGCTTGGATGGAGAGATTGCCTCCTTTTGGTACCTGAGATCTAGATACATTATGAGTTTGTTTTGAACCGTACTTGATTTGGACCAGGGCAAAGGTTTCCATGTTACTTTTGCACGAGGGCCGGCCGATCTTAGTGGGTGTTCCTGAGGGAGTTCACTTTAGCGGATGGATCATCTTTTGCCCTGAGCAATTGTTTGGCGCTCGTCTTCGAAGGTAAACAACTTGTTCGCAGTGTTCAAAGCTTTCGACCTGTGGTGAATTCGGGACCAATCCTTTGAACTGCGGCCTACTTGCGCCTCAAGCTTTCCCGCCCCCTACAATTCCAAATTCCAAATGAGGGTACTTTTCAATAAAGGATTTCCAACCAAAATGGTTTTACATTTGTAGGTACAAGGAAAGTAGTGTATGGAGTGTGGGGGCCCACGACAGCGGGGTGGATTCGGCAAACGTCAAAGGCGGCATGTGGAGGAAATTCGAATGATAGCCTTTGTTCAGTCAACCGTCAGAATGTGCTTTGCAGCCGCAGAAAAGGACTATGCTGCCTTTTGCGGTTTCAAGTTGGCCGGCACTTCAAGCAATGCAGATTTCAGGCTGTGTGTGTTGCTTCGTAACATTTTGTTGGGCTTGGATTGTCTTGCGCTGGCATCCCGAAAAACACATTAATCAAGGTGCGTTGTGTTTGACTCGCACGGGTGTGTGCTTGCGTAGGTACATCTCAAAATGCGTCAGATTGTCTTTGAACACCATCCAAAACAAGTTCCAGATTCCCCTGTTTAGGAACCACATACAGACATTCGTTGAATGTCGTTCATGTGGCTTTGCGAAAGCGCTCACGCGGCTGGCTCAAGCATTTTACCCGACTGCACTTTACCCCAACCTTACAATCTATTCGAAATGCCGGCACTTCTTCG